AGCCAATATCCAAGGCCTGTAGCATTTTGGGGACCTGGCTAGGCTCTAGGGGCTCAGAGTCCAGCACTCCAGGGATAATGTCCTGATCCCAGAGGGTGGAGTCAACAGCCTCCCTGGGGCGTGGCATTACTGGGTCAGGAGGCGTGGCCAGATGCCAACGGGGTGGAGTCAATGCACAGCAATAGACTTGGGATCAGGGGCGTGGTCAGGATCTCGGATGAGGGGCCAGAGCCTCCAATGGTGTAGGCTCCGCCCTAGAGGCAGTGTCACAGCGCCCAGGCTGGGTGTGGAGGAATCAGAGGTTCGGTCCTGGTGGCTCCCTGCCCGCTGACCATCACCCAGCCCGTGCCCCGGTTTCCTACCCTGCAGCTCCTGGGGCTTACCGCAGTGTAGGTGACCGCGTAGGCGCAGAGGGCCGCGTCCTTGCAGGGGAAGGCGCGGCGCGCGGCAGCCACGAGGCTGGGGCTCCCAGCACAGGCGCCCTGGTCAGTGACAAAGCGATCGGGCCCTGGCCGGTCTGGTGAGGGCGGCGAGCAGCCCAGGGCCGTGTAGTTGGGGCGGCACACTGACAGGAAGTGTGGCGTGGGGTTGCCGGTCACCACCTGCCCCGCGTTGGCGAAGATAGTCGTGGTGAAGAGGCCGAAGGAGTAGACCCCTAGGGGTGGGAGAAGAGAGGGGGTTCATGTTCCAGGCCCTGATGCCCCCGTCGCCCTCCTCCTGAGAGCCCCCTCATGGTTCCATTAGGTCTTTATATCCCTGTTCCTGTGGCTGCCATTAAAGAACACCTGGGACCCCATTACAGTGGGGCCAATGTCCCCATCCCTTTGCGGCCACCATGATGGTACTCTAGGCTTCCTCTCCCTGGGACCCTCATTACCGTACATCCGGCCTCTGTCCCACTGCGATTACCACTATGTCAATACCGGTTCCTTCCTTGGAACCCCATTATAGCTGGGCTTGGACCCCTCAACGCTATCACGTCAAGATTGGGCCCATGCCTGGGACCTCCTAGGAAAGCCCTAATGGCATCTATGGACCTCCTTATACCTGTCCCTGGACTGGCTATTACTGCGTTGATCACTCTTCCCCTGGGGCCACTAATAATAAACCTGAGCCCAAGTCCCTCTTTGCTACCTGGAGCCACCACCGTGGTACTTCTAGGCCCTCTTCCTTCCTGTTCACGATCCCTTCCTCTGGCCCCACTGCCCCACCATTACCACAGGGCTGACCCAGGGCTCTGTCTCTCACCCAGGAAGCGGACCAGCCTCCGCAGAGGTGGGCTAAAGCGGCAGCAGGCCCCGGACACAATGGTACTCTCGCCGGTGATGGGGATGGTTGAAGTCGGGGCAGGGAAGAAGGCACGCGCCAGCTCCCCCAGCAGGATCTGTGGGCGAGACCAAGGCGGGGACCTCCTGGCCTTCAAGCCCAGCTCTCCTCCCACCCCCACCTGGCCCTCCTGCCTCCTGGGAGGTCCTCCCCACGGTCTGACCAAGGGGACCCCCACAGTCTCACCGTCAATGTGGGCCCAGCAGTGACCAGGGCATAGATGAGTGCAGGAGGTGCTCGGCTGGCAGCCTCAGGCCCCGGGTAGGGCTTGGCATAGGTACTGTCATAGCAGAAGAATCCCTGGGTGTGCACAGGGAAGGTGTCCGTGAACTCCAGGCGATAAGCCAGCAGGACCACGACACCCAGCAGCACCGACTGCCACCCAGCGGTGGTGGGGAGAGGCGATGGGGAGAGAACAGAGAGGGTCAGGGCCCGAGCTGAGGCCACAAGACAGAGACACAAAGATGGAGAGAGATGGAGTTAGAGAGAGAACCTGGAAGATGAAGAGAGATGGAAGGAGATGTAGTGAGGGGGTGCAGAGAAGGATCAGGACCTGGGAGAAGCAAAGAAAGAGGTGGAGAAAGAGACAGACTCCTGTGTGGATGGGGTAGAGCGGGATTGGAACCCAGGGAGCTCCACTTCTGAGTCCAAGCTCGTAACCACTTCTCAAGAGAAAGGGGACATGCACAGAGATCCCAGAGAGACAGGGAGTGAGAGGTCAGGCAGAGATGGCAGGACTGGAGTGAGAGAGATGGAAAAATGGATACAGGGAGGGAGACTGAGGTTGGGCAGAGACAGAAAGAGCCAGGAAGATGGGTGCACCCCCTCTGGAGAAGGTACTGGAGTCCTCACCTCCACGAAGACAAAGCAGGGAATGATGGAGAAACTCCTCTTCAGGTGTGGTCTCCCTCCCGCCATGGTGAAGGCCAGGCCTGCGGAGGTGGGGAGGGAGTGGGGGATCCAGGGTGGGGCTGAGGTCACATCCCTGAGTCCTCTGGCCATACTCGCTGGCCTTGAAGCCCTGGCTCCGCCCCCTGAGCCTTCTGGCCAGGCCCCACCCTGCCCCTTCCCATTGAAGACTCCCGCCTCCCCTGACACCACCCCCAGAAATTCTACAGTAGTCCCCTTCCTGTGCAGCCTACATAGGAATGCCAACCCTAAGCTTTCAGGAAGACCCCTCTCCTCTGGCTTTTAGGAGAGATTTTTCCAGCTTTATGGGAGTCCTTCCTCCACCAGTTTTTAGGGGATCCCATCCTCTTCCCCCAGGGGGATCCCACACACACCAGGCCAGTCTCCTGAGTCCCTTCCCCCATGGCCTCCACGGGGGCCCCTCTCTCCATACCCTTGGGCTGCAATGTCTGATGCGGGCTGATAGCCAGGTCCTCCTCCTCTCCCAGCTGCCTTCCCCTCCTTCCCCCTCCCCCCAGGCCGTCTGCCTCCCGGTTCTCCTCTTCCCTCCCCCCCCAGTCTACCCCCAGCCCCCAGCACTTCAGGGGACAAGACAGTCACGCCTGCTTACACCCATTCTCCCAGCCCGATCTCACCTGTGAAAGTGCCCTATGGCTTCCCACGGGCCGCCACCACGCCCACAGACTCACACCCGTTCCTGGCGCCCAGCAGGGCAGGGATGGTCACCCCCATTGTGCAGATGTGGAAACTGAGGCACAGGCAGGCGAGGGTAGGCACTCTCGCTCCAGTGCCCCATCCACGAGGCTCGCTCTGCAGTGTGACGTGGGGTGAGGGTCACCAGAGGTCCCAGATGCCCACAGGGTTACCCACGCCAAGCACCCACGGAGTGCACAACCCAGCTGCAGCCTCCATTCCAAACACTACAGACACACACACACACCCACCCCCCACACATACACACCGTGACATGGTGTCCATCCATCCCACCATGAGGACCGAGCTCCAGCTGACTTCCAGTGGCTGCGCTGGGTGCCAGCTCATGGTGTACAAGACAGGCTCGTTCATTCAGACAGGTGTCCAACACACACAAAACACATAACGTGCAGTTGGCACATGGGCTGTCACCAACACGCACACAGATCAAACAAGTCCTCCCTCCCCAACATATAGTCAGAGGCCACATCAGGAGACCCTACACGTATCACAGCCCTACACAACCCCTCACCCCAGCACAGTCAGGGACGTAGACTCAGAGCTGCCAACACACTTAATGAGTCACAGCAAAGAGAGAGTCTCCAACACAATGGGGGTCACAGAACCGGTCACAGTGTCACGCCCTCAATTACAAGGCACTCGATGACAGCCACACACATCAACAGTCTCTCATCTACACTGACAGTCGCAGGAGAGACATGGTGCCATCCACAACCACAGCCACATGGCCACAGAAGGGCACCTTACATGGACCATGACACAGACTCACACACGGGGCCACACTAGAAAGGCAGACGATCACAGCCACACACGCACCATCAGAATGAACACACGACAGCAGCCACACAATGACAGTCATAATCACAGCACCACAGGGACACCAAGACAGCCACACAGTGATAGCAGTCACACGGTCACCCCATGGCAGCCACATCATAGCCACACACACACCAACCATCGGAGTGGTATCCACAACGACAGCCACACAATGACTGTCAGCACACACACACACACACACACCCGCGGACCACTGAAGCTGCACAATGACAGTCACACAATGAGAGCTACACACCACACACTGACACACAATGACAACCACACAATCACAGTCACCCACAGCCACTCTCATCCCCTTTGCTTGGCTCCTCAGGCCCGGGACCCCCTCCCCACGCTCCCCTCCCTCAGCCGCGTCGCGAAGCCCCAGCTCGCCGCCTCCCCTCCCCCTCCCCACGCTGGACCCGGAGGGGCCAGACCCGCAGGAGCCGAGGACCAGGACCGAGGGTGGGAAGCCGGGGGCAGGGGGAAGGAGGAGAGGGGGCGCCCCAATCCCCTCCCCTCACCGGGTTTAGGCCGCCGCCGCCTGAGCCCCCGCTCCGCCTAGACTGCCCTGGCGCGGCAGGACGGACAGACCGACGGCCGGCCGGGCCGGCGGACTCGGAGACGGAGACGCGATCGGCCGGCTCCGGCCGCGCCGCGCAGACTCCGCGGAGGAGGGAGGGGCGGGGCCTCCTGTCGGCTCATTTGCATAACCCCGTGGGGCGGGGCCTCAGGGCGTCTCATTAACGGGGCGAGGCGTGGCTTCGGGCGTTCTTGGGGGCGGGGCGTGTTAGCACAGATTCGGGAGGGAACCCAGAATGGAGGCTGAGAGGGAGGACCGGGTGGTGGGGGGCACCGAGGGGAAGACGAAGGCGGAGCTTCAGAGCATGACCCTGGGCTGTGCCCCTCCCTCCTTCTCTGGGCCTCAGTTTCCCCATTTGGGCAGTGGCGGCCGCGGACCTGATCGCCAGGGCGCCCCAGAGAGAATGGCTCCGTGGCCAGTGCGGAAGAGTCTGTCTGGCCGCTGATACCCGCGCAGAATGACGCCTGAGCTTGTCATGTGCTAAATCTGGCCTCAGGCTGTCCAGATTCTAGGCCCGCACATCCAGATCAGCCCCTGGGGTCTCTACAGCCCTGAACACTGAGGAGTTCATTGGAAGGGGGAGGGGATTCCTAGGCACAGGAGGCAGCAGGACCAACAGTCCAGGGGTGGAGGAGGGTCTCAGCTAGTTTATTTTCTCTCTGGAAGGGTCTTCAGGGAGAGCAGTCCCGGCTGCTCAAGCTGTGGATAGAGAGGGTGGGTCAGGGCCTGGCCTGCTCCAGGGAACCCCAGGGCTGCAGGTCAGGTAGCAGATGCCCAGGTCGGGATGTGGGACGGCCCCCAGGGTCCAGACTATGGGAGTCAAGGGCAGGCCAGGCGGGGAATGGGTGGGGTGGAGGCCAGGGAGGATCTGCACCGGGAGGGAAGGAGCGGCTCTTGCTGAAAGGTGGCTGGGAAAGGTCTTGGTCCGAGTCAGAGTCCGAGTCCCAGGAGTGGAGCGGTGGGCTCGGGCATCGGCGCCCCTTGTGGCCTACGGGAGGGACAGGAGCCCTGAATGTGACCCTCAAATATAGGCCCAGTGTCCCTTTACACCTCACTGATCCTCGACTATGACCTCCATGTCTCTTGAGTGTGACCCAAGTGGCATCAAATTATGACTTCAATGACCCTTGAATTTTACCCCAGTGACTCTTATAAAAGATCCTAGTGACTCTGAATGTGACTCTCAGTGACTCCTGGATGAAACCTCCAGTGACTCCTCAATGTGACCTCTAGTGACTCCTTAATGTGACCGCAGAATCAGACCCAACAGATGTGACTCCCCAAAATGCCCTCTGAATGCGACCTCCATGAGCAAAACTAGAGAATGACCTCCCACCCCTGAGCAATGCTCAGCCCCCCTCACCCCTGAGGTTCAAGGCCCTGGGGCGGGCTCCTGAGGACATCATGAGGCTGTCGATGGAGTCCTGCAGCACGTGCACGGCGGACCTGCGGGGAAATGGGGACATGGGGGCCCTGGGAGACTCCAGACTGCTCAGGTTGGGGACAGCACCCCCAGGGCTAAAGCAGGGGGGTGGTGCTGAGCGTGAGTTCTGGCAGGAAGGGTGGTCTGGACACAGGTGGGCTCCGGGTTCTGGCGGTCCTTGCCAGATCTGGTTGGGAGGAGTGGGACAGATGACAGTCAGGGGTCAGAGGTCAGACTGGGGACTGGGCATCACCATATGTCACTCAGTTCCTTCTGGAGTTCATCATTCCAGCACCCACTGCCTCCTGGTGGCACCTCCTCAGTCTCCAGACAGGAAGATGTGTCACAACCCTGCTGCTTCATCTTGGTCAGGATCTGGGGCAGGGGGTAGGGGGTGGGACAAAGAAAGAACAGTGATGACAACCATAACGATAACAGTGCAAGGTAACCGTTACATAGCACTTATTACATGCCCAGCCACATTCAAAGTGCTTAACACTCAGTTAATACAGATTAGGTAGGGATGAATCATTATTGTACCCATAATACAGATGAGGTGACTGAGGCCCAGAGAGGCCAAGTGACTTGTCCACAGTCATACAGCAGTGAGTGGCAGAGCTGGGATTGGAACCCAGGCTCCAATCTGATGGTGGAGGCTGGCAGAGATCCCCACGCCTGCCCCCCACGCCACCCCTCCACAGGGTCCCCATCTTCTCTGCTCACCTTGCGGCACTTCACCTGCGTCTTCTGCATCTTCCGGATATTCATCACGTTCTCCGAGATCTCATTCTCCTGCAGCTCTGTGGAGGGAGGGGGCTCAGAGGGACAGGGGCTTCACAGAAGGATCCCCCTCATGGCTGGGGGTCCAGGCACTCACGGAGCTTCCTATAGATGACGTTCACCTCCTCCCGCACCAGCTGCAGCTCCTCCCACAGGAACTTCTTGCTGAGGGGACAGTGCAGCTTAGAACCATGCTCTCTGCCCAGTGGCCGCTCTCCCTCACTTCCCATGTCCCCATCTGTCCAACCGGTCATGCCGCAGGCTCTGTCCCCTTTGCCTGCTGCCTGCCCTCTTTCCCCTTCCTACTACAATCCTGGCACCTGCCACCTCCCAGTCCCTCCTCTCCTTCTGATCCCAGCCTCCCTCTCTCTTAGCCTCTCCCACCCCCATTCAGCCTCGCATCTCCTGTCCTCCAACCTCCCACCCCACAGCGTCCTGCCCCCTCGGCCTTCCCAGCCACCCCCCAGCTTCCTATCTTCCCTACCTCTGACTTCCCAATCTCCCATCCTGCCATCCCCTTGCCACCCGCCTGTCTCCCCCCAGCCCCACTTAGCCAGGCCTCTCCCATTTCCCCCATGCTGCCTCTGGTCCGTGGCCCCAGCCCTTCTGCCAGCACCCACCTGTCCTGGATGTCCTGGGCGAGCAGCTGCAGGCAGCGCGTGGTGCGGGTCCGCTGCACCTCCTCACTGTCCCGCAGGGTCTTCTGCAGTCTCTGTAGGCCCTGGACCAGGGCTCCATACAGCTCCTGCTGACCCTGCTCCACGCCCCCCTTGGGCCCCTCCTTCTCTCCCTTGTGGCCTGTGGGGCTCAGCACCTCTGCAGAGAGGAGGCAACCTTGACTGAGCCCATCCTGAGCCCAGCTCTGAACCCAGCTTGCCTTAAGCTCGGCCTGACCTTGATTCAGAACTCAGACGCTCCCAACTACTTTCTCCCTGGCCTGACCCAGCACCCCTACCCCAACCCCTAGAGCCAGTCTCCAGCCTGACCTTGACCTCTGGCCAGTCCTCACCTTCAAGTTGCTGAATCTTGATTTGCTGCAGGCAGCTCTCCTTCTCCAACATGGTCACCGAGTGGTTCAAGAACTCGAAAGCCTGGTGGGGAAGAGGTCAGGCCTGGGGTTGGGGGGAGAGGGCAAGAGGGGACAGAGGTGGCTGGGGGTGGGGCTGAGGTAATTCACCTTGGTCTGGGCCTGTAGCTGGCTCTTAAGTGACTCCAGTTCACCTCGTAGGAGCTTCTGGCAGTCAGGAATCATCATGGTGGACTTAACTGTGGGCAGAGGTGAGGGTGAGTCTGGGCTGGGGCCAGAGAAGGGCAGAGGTCAGCAGAGCCTCAGGGTAGAGTAGGGACAGGGGGTAAGGTATAGAACAGGGGCCCATCGAGGCTGAGGCAGGGGTGAGTAGGTGGCAATGCCAGGAGCAGCTGACACTGGGGAAGATGGGAGAGGTAGGAACCAGCAGGTCCTCCCTATACAGCCTTGTTGGGAAGGAAGAGTCTCACCTTTGACTTTGGAACAGCTGGCCTCCTCAGGCTTCTAGGGAAGGGGAACAAGAGGGGAGTGGAAATTTGTCCCTGGGCTGCCTCCCTGCTCACCCCAACCCAGTTTGGAGGGCTGGACAAGAGTTGAGTCTCCTGAGTTCTGGGTGTTGCAAACCATGGGTGCAGGCAAAGTTGCCTCCAGGGACATTCATGCACTTCTCCCTCATCTTGGCCTGCACGTGCTCAGAAGTACACTTGTGTGGCTGGGCCTGTGCACTACCCCTAACAGCATGTGCCTGCAGAGCCCTGGCTCCCACCCAATGCCAGTCCTGTCTCTGGCTTGGGCTCAGGTAATGCCCCTCCTCCTTAGGGGCAAATGACATCAACAGTGTCTGCAGGATTCACCAACAGCACCCAGCACACAACCATACACAGTCACTGGAACACACAACCACAGCCGCACAGACACATGACCTCAGATACAGCCATGCATGCTACTAAGTCTTAAGACCCAGGGCACCCACTTACATGCATCTCAGACACACGACCACGACCACACAGACACACAAGCAAAGTCACACCCAGAGATAGTCACAGGCACGACTCTACTGATGACCCACAACCATGCACATTCCTTCCATTCGTTCCTTTATGCATTCATGTAAGAAATGTTTATCGGAGGCTGGCTGAGTGCCGGGAGCTGTTCTAGGTGCTGAAAACACACAGTGTGAGTGTTCTTAATAGGACATCCCTGCCCCACAGCCCCCTCTCTAAGCCCCACAGTGGTAGATTGCAGTGGTTTCCCAGATCGAAGGGATTTCCTCCATGGGCATGACCTTAGCCACGTTGTTTTGCCTCTTCACAAGTTCCTGGTTGTTACAGCGTTCCTTTGGCGAATCTGGGTTGGAAAACAAGGGAGCCCCTTGTGACAGAGGCCCCAAGCTCCACCCTGGCCTCCAGTCTATACTTCTCGCTGTGTCCTCGGAAGCAGCAGGTCCCAAAGTCTCTGGCTCTGGGGTCCTGGACCAGTGAACCGTATAGTCCAAATCCTTGTCTGAGGAAGAGCCTGTGGGGTGAGGGCTTCCTTGAGGGACAGCCCAGGCCAATCCCGGCATTCCCAACCCCTCCCAGCCTCCCAGCCTGAGGGCAGCCCCCCAACGAACCCAAGTACTTATCACACTTCCCGTTAGCAAGCAAACACGCGGAGGGTGAGGAAGGTGAGCACACGGAGTAGTCAGGGTCCCGGGGGAGGCCGGCCAAAAGAGGGTCGCTGCAAGTTGGGGGGACAGGGGCTGCTTTGAGACCAGGCTCCATGTGCCAATGCCCCCTAGATGCCCTCTGACACCCCAGAGACACCTCAGCCCTGAACACAGGGCTTCTCGGTTATGGTAGCTGAATGAAGGATGATCCCAGCCCCAGGGGTTGGGCTGTGCAGTGAGAAAGACCCGGAAGGTCTTCCTGAAAGAAACAAGTCTTTAGAAAAGCTCGAAGAAAAAAAGGAAGACCTTACATCTGCCCTTAAAGGAAAAGCATTCCTGGCATGTGCAAAAGCTTGGAGGTGTGGACCCATGTGCTCTGTGCTGGTAAATTCAAGATGGCTGAAGGCAGGGTCCAAGAGGAAGCAGCAGAAGATTAGCAGGACAGCTCAAGTCAGGCATTGAAGGCCAAGGCCAAGTTTAGACCTGGCCCCACAGGTAAACAGGAGCCATAGAGTGTGCAGGAGAGAGGCAGAGCATATCTATTCAATAAATGTTAACTGAATTGGTACCCAGGCCTGTGCTAGGTGAGGCTGGGAAGAGGAAAGAACTCAGCTCTGGGTCTCACATCCATGTCCCCTCTCCCTCCAGTATAGTTAGGGTTGGCACAGATGGAGAAATCTGCGGCAGGTCTGCCTGGAAAAACTTCTAGGTGAGAGGATCACACTCAGCCTGTTCCCCAAAGCATCTAGACCTTTCTCTTCTGTTGCCCTTGCTGGGCCCTCTGCCTGGTGTCCTTCCCCTGGCTCAGTCTGCCTGGAAGACTCCTACACACCCTTCAAAACCCTATTCAGCATATCGTCTGTAAAATCGTCCTTAATCCTGTTGTAGGTTCATATTTTTTGAGCACCTCATTGAGTGCTGGACAGCCCCTAAGCATTCACTGGATCTTCACACCGAATCTGTGATGTACAAGTTATTCCTCTGCCTGAAATGTTCTAGGTCACCCTTTCAAGAGGCACTGTCGCAGGGAGGTCCTCACTTCCAGAGGTAGCAGAGCATGATGATTGAGCAAGGAGACCTGCCAGTTGGATGATGGCCTGGGTTCAAATTCTAGCTCTGGCCCTACCCAGCTGTGTGATATTGGAAGAATTACTGAACCTCTCCATGCATCAGTGTCCCCAACTATAAATGAGACATAGTATCCACGTTACTGGGTTGTTGTGATTAAGTAAATTAATCCATGCTGGTGCCTAGCATACAGTAATGGGAAGCTCAATGTTTGTTCTTGAATGTCACTCTGAGAACCTGGGACCTGGGACCATGGGAGCCCTGGGAGGCTTGGAGGGGAAAAGGAGAGGCATTTCTGAGCGCCAACTGCAGGCAGGTCTCCATTCGTGCCTCCCTTCCCCCTCCCACGCGGTTGTTTCTAACGCAGTCGCTCCCGGGAGAATTCTTTGGGGAAGGGGGCGGGGTCACCAGCCTGGGCCCCGCCCCCGGGCTGTGAATCCTGCACCCACCAGGCTCCCAACCCTCTTCCACTCCCACCTACCACATACCACCTATTCCTGCTCTCCCATCAGGGACCGCGAAGCCAGTCCCAAGCAGTGACGCTGAAATTTGATACTGCGGGGCCACCATCGCTTTAAGACGTGGAGAGGCTAAGGGCAGAGTCACAGAGAGGGGTGTGGCCGGCATTTTAGCTCCGCCCCCGCCGTGGTAGCCGAAGACTTCATTGGCGCCTTCTCTCTTCCGCCCCTCTTAGCAGCTGCGGTGTAATTGGATAAAAGCTTGACGTGGGGCGGGATTCCAGGCGGGTTTCTGCTAATCGATTAGTCAATACCTAAGAGGGCGGTACAGAAGGCGGCAGATCTATAATCCGATTGGTTTCGGGCTCGGCTGGGAGGCGGGACAAGTCTTGGTTCGGAGAGGGAGGGACCCACGAGGGGAGAAGGCCGAGGAGGTCCACGGTCCACCCGGGAGCGCGGGAGTGAGGTACCGAGCTCAGCCAGTCTGGCCCCGGCGCCTCTGATCTCGGACTCGGGGTGCTGCGGGTTGAGGTCCGGTTCCCAACGGTGGGGTGGGTGTCCTCAGACTGAGATTTGGGGTTTCCCAGGATTAGATGGGGTCTCCAAGGGTGCCTTGGGGATCTTCATACGGTATCCGCGATCCTCTTATGAGAGAAGGGATCTTAGCTGTTAGAACTCGATCCCTGGGGTGATATTCGCGAGTCGCCAGGGTGATCTCTGAAGACACAGGGCTGTGAGCTTGAGCTGCTGGGGCTGAAATTTGGGGGTCTCTGAGGTGGCATGGATGTTCGGGTCCAGAGATCCTGAGATCTTTAGGGCTGACATTTGGGGAGACGGGGGCGGTGGTTGTCACAAGACTGATCTGGGTCTTTTTTGCTGTCGTTTCTGGGCTGCTTTCCCTGGATTTCTGCTGAATTGGGTAACAGGGTCTGAAGGCCATGGTGCAAAGATAAGGCTCTGAGCCACCCGGTGCCTCCTTCCCAGGGCTGCAAGATGGAGGAAGGCGGGAGCCCAGGAGGCCTGATTAAGATGGTCCATCTACTGGTCTTGTCAGGTGCCTGGGGCATGCAAATGTGGGTGACCTTCGTCTCAGGTAGGGACCCTCGGCGTTGATGTCATGAGTACCAGGGATGGGGACAGAAGTGGGAGGGGGAAATTGAAGTGTCCTAACAGGCTTGTGGCCCCCTCACTCCCACCCCACAGGCTTCCTGCTTTTCCGAGGCCTTCCCCGACATACCTTCGGCCTAGTGCAGAGCAAACTCTTCCCTTTCTACTTTCACATCTCCATGAGCTGTGCCTTCATCAACCTCTGCATCTTGGCCACACAGTATGCCTGGGCTCAGCTCACACTCTGGGAGGCCAGCCAGGTATGCGGGCTTGGGTGCCACTACTCTCTGGACACTTGTTCTTGGGACCTCAACTGTAGGACCCCCAATAGTTACACCTTTTTGAGAGAAAAAAAAGTACTGCTTCTTCCTGGTGGATACAAAGCTGGACTCTGGACACCTTTGAACAGTGCGCAGCCTGCACAACTGTCCCCAGTAGCCCTGTCTATCCCACAGTGTCCATCCGTTGGCTGCTGCTCCCTGGCTGGGCCTTCCGCCAAGCTGTGGTGACTCAGCTGGGCTGGGGCGCTGCCCCCGGCTCATTGTTTAAAAACTAGCCTGACTGGGGATTTACGGTTTCCTACCCCCATCCACACATTTCCCCAGCCACAAGGCAAGGAACCGTCTCTGCATCTCAGATTTCTCTACCCTGCCCTTCTCCTGCCCCCGTTGTATCCCTCGCATGTGGGCAGATGAGGCCTGACAGGTGTTTCAGGAATGATCTCACAGAGACAGGAAAGGGTTATGAGTAACTGGAACTTCACGGACTTTTTATTCCCTCTCTCTGTGGGGCTAGTGTCAGCTTCTGGGGCCTGGGCTGGGGCCCCAGAGGAAAGAGACCCTGCCCTAGTGTCTTCCAGTCTGCATATCAGAGATGAAGCTCAGGAGGTTTTAGGGGGAGCAGAAGAGATGGGGATGGAGCTTTCTTTAGGGGCTGCCAGTTTCAGAGTACAAGAGCTGGAGCTCTGCTTTGGGGACCTCGGTTTGGGCTCCGGGAAAGAGGGAGAGCCCGGCTTTGTCCAGTACTGTCCTGCATCCAGCTCTGGGCTGTGAGGATGCACAAGGTCCCTCCCTAGGACATGGCTCACTTTGTCCTCCTGCCATCCCTGCCAGCTTTGTCTCCTGTTCCTGAGTCTTACTCTGGCCACTGTCAACGCCCGCTGGCTGGAGCCCCGCACTACGGCTGCCATGTGGGCCCTGCAGACCGTGGAGAAGGAGCGGGGCCTGGGCGGGGAGGTGGCGGGCAGCCACCAGGGCCCTGACCCCTACCGCCAGCTGCGGGAGAAGGACCCCAAATACAATGCCCTCCGCCAGAATTTCTTCCGCTACCATGGCGTGTCCACCCTCTGCAATCTGGGCTGTCTCCTGAGCAACGGGCTCTGTCTCGCCGGCCTCGCCCTGAGCCTTAAGAGCCTGTAGCATGGACCCTGCATATCAATAAATGCTTCTTTGGAAATGGCTGCTGTCATTTTTTCCCCTCGCCATGAGAAGCAGGGGGAGGGGAGGACAAGGTAGAGAGGAGGCCTCAGTTTCCCCATTCACAAAGCATGATGTTTTGGAGTGTCAGCCATTACAGCCTGTAAGCCTCGCCTACAATGGTGCCCATTTATAGAGCACCTGCTGTATGCCAGGCATGGTGCTAACCATTGCACATACCACGTGTCATTGTAACAATAGCTGGTTCCGATTCTAGGGGACAGACATATTTCCCACCCTACTGACATTGGAGGGGGCCACGTGACTTGCTTTGGCCAATGAAATGTGAGCAGAGGCGGTAGATGTCCCTTCTGAGGAGAAGCGTTACAAGACAGTGCATAATTTACTGTTAATACATTTTCCCGTCACCACCACAACAATCAGGAGAAGTAAATCTTGGCTGTTGGGGCCATGGGGTCATTGGGGCTACGTGTTACCAAGCTTAACCCAGCCCTTCCTAACTAATGCACTTCATCTCAGTTCACCCACGTGGCAGCGCACGGAGGCAGCTACTGTTGTTCCCATGAGGCAGTGGGGGCTCAGATAATTTTGACTTAACTATTATAACTGCACACCCTTTCCTGCTGACTTGAAAACTCTGGGACCTCAGCTGGTGCCAAATATCTTTACTGTGCAGGCAAAGGAGCTGTCCCCACCCCTTTTTTGTCACCCAGGATGGAATGCAGTGGCACAATCATAGCTGACTGTAGCCTTGAACTTCTGGGCTGAAGCGATCCTCCTGCCTCATCCTCCCACGTAGCCAGGACTACAGGCACGTGCCACCACGCCTGGCTATTTTTTCTTGTTTTTTCTAGAGATGGGGAGAGGGGGTGTCTGCTATGTTGCCCAGGCTGGTCTTGAACTCCTGGCCTCAAGTGATGCTCCCGCCTTGGCCTCCCAAAGTGCTAGGATTGTGGTGGGATTATAGGCATGAGCCACCACGCTTGACTAGAGCTGTGCCTTTCTGAGCTTTGGTTTCCTTATCTGTAAAAGGAGGTTTAATTCCAAGAGCCCTTAACAGTATTTAACGAAGGTCTCCGGCCCACTTTAGGGCCAGGCTCTGCACTTTACAAACGCTAACTCAGATCACAATTCTCACACAACGCTGTGAAGCGGGTATTCTTGTTCTGGGCCACTTGACAGATGGGGAAACTGAGGCTCAGAGAAGTTAAGTAACACCTCCAAACTCACAAGATTTGGAAAGCGGTGGAGCTGGGATTCGAACCCGGCTCCATAGTCCGCGCTCTGAACCGCTGTGCGTATGGCATAATACGA